ATATGGTCTAGTATAAAGTATTAACTGTTGGCTGCTATATAGAAGAAAGCACTTAATATAATTTTCTTTTAACAGCACACTTGTTTTAAAGTCATTTTGCCATACTCATTAACAGGAAAATAAAAGTAGTATTCACAGTGTCCAGATGTTGGATATTTTCTGAGTGAATAAGTTTTTCCCAGTTTTGGTTTATTATTAACTTTTATTTTTTAGTGAAATTGTATGCAGTTTCAAGAAATAGTGCACAGAATTCACATACACCAATGAAACAGTTTCTTTCATGGTATTATTTATAACTATAATATAATAACACAACCAAGATTTTTTTGAGCATTATTTCCTTAATGTTTCCATCATACATTATTGGCTTCCAGTCAGTATTTAGTATCTGAAAAAAGTATTTGCATTGGAATGACCAAATTTATGTTAGTAGTTTATCCATTTCGAAAATTATTTTAAGCTTTATGTTTTTAAAATGTATCACCTATAGGTGAGCCTAAATTTTTTCTCAAATACTGTATTATTTTTATTGTTTTAATGTAAAAATATGTAAAAACTACCTAACAATATTATTTTAACCTTTTAAATGTCCATATCATTCAGTGACATTAAGTATATTCATAATTATGTTGTAAAACCATATCAGCACTGTCCATCCCCCAAATTCTCATCATCTCATATAAAAGCTGTACACTGATTTAACAACTTTCCATTTCTGTTTCCTCCACCCCCAGGTACCCTCTCTTCTAATTAGTTTTTATGATTTTGACTATAAGTGAAATCATATTTTTCCTTATATGTCTGCTTTTTTCAATTAGCATAATATTTTTATGGTTCATCTACATTCGTAGCACATACCAGAATTTGATTTCCTTTTACGGCTGCATAATATTCCTTTATATGTGTATAATGCAGTTTATCTATTCATCTCTTCATGGACATTTGGGTTTTTTAATTGTTGGTGGTTATGAATAAAGCTGCTATGAACATTTATTTACAAGTATCTTACTCCCTTCCAGTTTTTTTAAAATTTACCTAGGACTGTAATCGCTAAATTGCATGATTGATCCATCCATCCGCCCATCTCGTCCGTCCATCCATCCATCCATCCATCCATCCATCCATCCATCCATCCTTCTATCCATGTGTTTGTCTATCATCTGTTTATTTTTTTAAGGTCTAAAGGAAAGCTTTTTAAAGAAGGGGAAAAGCCACAACTAGAAAAAACAAAGACAAAAACCCAAGAAAAGGAAAAAAACTGATGATTTCAACTTTGTGAGGATAGCTGAAGTTTTTCACAGTGTATGCACATTTTACATTCTCACAAACAATGCACAGGGTTTCCAGAATCTTCACATATTTTCCAACACTTCTTTTTTTTTTTTTTATGCCTACAGCACCCAGTCTTCCTACATGGTCTCCCATTCAAGTACTAACCAGGCCATCCTAATTGGAATATATTGATATTATAATGGGATCTTAAATTTGCATTTTCAAATGATTCGTTTTGAGTACCTTTATATGTGCTTATTGGCCATTAGTTTACTTTCTTTGGAGAACTATCTACACAAATCCTTCGCCTGCTTTTGAATAGGGTGCTTCATTTCCTTGTTGAGCAGTAGGAGTTCTTTATATACTCTAGATAGTAGTAAATCATCAGATCTTTGATTTGCAAATATTTTCTCCCACTCTGTGGATTTTTTTTACTGTCTTTCCTTTGCACAAAATTTTTTAATTTTTAGATCTCGTTTTATTTTTTCTTTTGTTGTTTTCACCTCTGATATCATATTTGAGAAATCACTGCCAAATCCAATGTTGTCTTTTTCCCTCTGTCTTCTAAGAATTTTCTAGTTTTAGTTCTTATGTTAACATCCCTAATCCATTTTTAGATTAATGTTTGGATATCATGTAAAGTAGGGGTTCAACTTTATTCATTTTTAAGTGGATATCTGGTTTTCCAAGCACCATTTTGTTGACATGGTTGGCCTGCGGATCATGTAGAGGCTTAAGAGGCTTGTTTGTAACACCTGTAGTGTTTCTACCAACTAATAATACTTTTTGTAACCATGCTTCTGTTATAATATCAGGTAGCACACATTAGTTTTGTTAATTGAGGGTAGCTGATTAATCATGGGTATATAGTCAATGATTCCACATTAGTTCTACATAAAAACATAGTTCTTAAAACCAGAAGATTTTCTTTAACTAAAAAGATAGTATTGGACTATATTATGAACAGCTTGGCAATGTTAACATTAAATATCAATATGTCTACCAAAATTTTATATATGCTTTGTAGATGAAGATGACATTTTTTTAGTTCATTTTTGAATAATTTGTCCTTTGACAAATGTAATTTGTCAAAGGACAAATTATTCAAAAATGAACTAAATATTACATTTGAATAATGTGACCATAGTTGATTGATCGTTGAAAAATTAAAGGAGACTCTGGAAATAGAATGCACATTTATGTGAATGGTTAATGGAAATGGTTGAAAGGGGCTTTTTCATTTTCTGTTTTACTTAAAAAATTCAAGTGCCTTTTGTCTTCTATTTGTTAATATAACTGATGTTTATGTTTGATGAAGTCAGATGTTACTCATTGCTTTCAATAATTATTAGTGTTTTCATCTTTTAATGTTATTTGTGTTTTTTAGTAATGACTTTGCCTATAGACAGATAATACATGAATGAGTTATGTGCGTTATATATAAAATAAATCTTATATATTATTTATTACATTACATATTTATAATGTAAAATATGCATTACTTTATATTATATTGTTATATATTATATTATGTTATATATTATATCACTGAATATTAGTAACAATAATTTTATTTCATTACTTTATATTTTAGATATATGTGAATATATATTTTGCACATGTATCTGTCTATATACATAGTTATATTTACATTCTGTGTAGACTCATTTGATTTAGAAGTAGAGCTAATATGTGTTTTAATATTTCATGAATGATTCTACATATTTTATACATAATTTATATATTTTTTAGAAGACAGCCATGTTATATAGATGATTTAGAACATGGGTTGTTTGATATATATGTAGGGTTACAGTTTTAAAATGTCTCAAAATACAATTTAGTTTTGAACAATGTAGTTTTGATTTTTCTGTTCCACGTATGCATGGAGTTTTCAAAATATGAGTTTTAGTGGACCCACAAAGTTCAGATCTTCATTGTTCAAGGGTCAACTGTATTTTTGATCAGCATTTGAGAATACGTATATGTGAAGGGATGAAAAAGTTTTATACAGATTTTTAACTACACAACCTCAACATGTTCATTTTCATGTCATCCAGATTCAGATGGCATTATCTGTTAATAGTAATTTAAATTCCAGTCCTTCGAAGAAGAAGCAGCATTGAAGAAATCAATTGCATAGAGAAAAAATGGTTGTCACTTATGGTTTCTGAGATTATGTTGGGTTTTGTTTTTCGGAAAGATTTCATGGAATCTTCATTCTCTGTGCTTCAGTTTAATTCTATGTCCTCGTTATCACATAGTAGCAGAGTTAATGTGTCTTTCCATGTTTTATGTTAGTGCCTCCTTTGCACTGTTATGACCATAGGTTCTATTGAGCATCTTCTTACCAAAGAGTTCTTTTCATTGCAGTTGAGGGCTTGCTTCAGAGTAGCTGTCTCCAACCTTTTTGGCACTAGTGACTGGTGCTCCTATGAGAATCTAATGCCTGATGATCTGAGGTGCAGCTGAGGCAGTGATGCTAGTGCTAGAGAGTGACTGTAAATACAAATGAAGCTTAGCTTGCTTGCCTCCTGCTCTGCGGCCCACTTCCTAACAGGCTATCGAACTGGGGGTTGGAGACCTCTCCTTCAGATGGTATCTTCCTCCTTAATTATCTTCTTCAGTTCTGCTAGAAATGTGGCAATACCTTCTCCATTGGCAGAAGCAACCTCTTGTTTTTCAGTCTAAACCTGCCCCTGGATCTGTGTAACCATCCCTTGCAGTAAATGGCTTGATGTCACTTGTTTCAGAGAATCTCTTCCTGAAGTCATTGTATGGGATCAGTACTTTTTGGTACAAAATGTTGCCTTCTGTTGGAGCATGTTTTCTGTTCATGTCTTCACCCACAAATTGAATGCCTTTTCCATCTTCACTAAGCATATATGTGCTGTGGCCATTACTTTTGCATTTGGAGATGCGATAGCAAAATTTGCATGAATTTCTTATTCTTTCTGCATAATTTCATCTTTACTGTGTATCTTAGCAACCTCAGCATACATTTTTTTTTTTTAAGTCAAGAACATTCACCATTTCATTTAAAGTAAGAGCTTTATACTTGGCATATTTGAATTGCCAGCATCACTACTCCTGCGCTTTAGAGTTATTATTGAGTAAAATAAGAGTAACTGGGACACAAGCACTGTGGTACCATGACAGGTGATCTAATAACTTAGTTGACTACTAATGGCAAGGAGCCTATTGAGACACTGGATCAAAGGGATGATTAATGTTCCTAGCAGGATGGACCAGGATGGTGCCAGATTTAAACACACTTCGTCAGAACTGCATGCTGCTTAAAATTTATGAATTGTTTATTTGTGGAATTTCCCATTTTATGTTTTTGTATATAACTGCAGAAAACACAACTGTGGATAAGGGAGAACTTCTGAATAATTAATTGAACATATCTCATTTAAGCCTTTATAAACATAAGTTTTTGTTAAGTTCTGAAATATTTGAAGTTTTTTCACCTAATAAAAATAGACAGGATAAGTAAAGTTAATTTTTCCCTGCATCCTTTGTCCTTAACTATTTCATGGAAACAACTTAATCACACTTAAATTTCTACACTGGATTTTGAATGATTTTATTTGGTTGGCTACTGTATTTTCATTGAATAACATGATTTCATTATTATATTTTAGACCTTAAAAGCCTAAAATACAAAAGTGGATTTTATGCAACTCTAAATTTAGTGTGTTAATATTTTTACTTTTCTCTTACAGCATTTTCAGTTAGCTTTGATTGACTGTAATCCCTGTACTCTGTCCAGTTTTGAAAGTAAGTGTTTCTAAGTACAATATTTTCTTTCGTATTTTTGAGGAATAGGCTATCTGTAAGGCATTTTAAATCATGACCACGAATACCCTCTCTTGGTTATTGAGAACAACATCAGGAGGCATAAGATGACTCAGACTCTTAGGACAGTTGATTTCAGCATGGTTACTTGATTATTATAGAAATGTCTGGTTTCTCAAAGAACACAACACGTAGTGGTTGCCTGCTTTTGCTACATATCACTGTAGTTTTAAGTAGCTATAGTGTCTGTTTCTTTAAATGGAAAAATTTCTTTTTTTCTTAAATGTGTTTGAAGATGTGCATATTCTGTAGACCATGACTATTAAATTGAGAAGTATTCAAAGTAAAATTAAAAAGAAAAAGTGGAAAATATACTTTTACTTATGAGTAAATTATAAACACATAGTTTCTTTAAGTAAATACATATTATATTTGGAACTAGCAAGATGGGTATGTGTACAGTTAATACTTTTGAAAAGATTTTTGTATTTTGAAACTTTCATTCTATGTTGTCCAAAAATGTTTCTGAATAGACTTTATATTTCAAGACATTTTGATTGCAATATTGTCAGTTTACATCTATAATTAAAATTTTCATGGTGAGCATTCTACTAGCTGTATATTTATGCTCTTCCTTCAAAGTACATTTTAGAAAGAAATAGATTTTTACCTTACAAAAGATGACATTATATTTTATGAGATTGTGAGGCCATAGACATGAGACATGAAACTAAATCTGGAGGAATTTCATGTGGTATTAGGGTGCCAGTTAGCTGTGACCTTTTCATCCTTGTTTCTTTATTAGTTGGGTATGATAAAGGGAAAATGGGATTTTTTGTTTGTCTTTTCTCTCTCACTCACTCTTTTACCAATAATCCAGTTTCTCTTCAATAATAAAGAGAAATGAAATTTCTATTAATTGCATTTGATATGGTAGGGAACCAGGATGGGAAATGCAGTGATGAGGAAGAAAATCTTTTAACCTATAAGATGAAGAGGTCATTCATATATATGAGGCTTTTTTGTTGTTATTAGTTGGTTTTTGCTCATTTGTTTTATTTTGTTATCCTGTGTTAGTATTTTCCTCCTCTCTAAAGAAGATATTTTAATTTTATTTGATAAGTAATTACTTAACTTGTGATGTAAGCCTTATTTAGGTAATAACTTTATATCAAAGTTGTTTTATTTTAAGGCTAATTACAAAATTTGGAGCTAATTTTTCTCTTTTATATGGAAAGAAATTTATGAATACCTAGTATTGTGTTCTCCAATAGAGAAATAGAGAAGTTCCTAGAAAGCTGGAGAACTTAACTGAGACAGCTACATAGCACAGTCTCATCGAATCAGAATCTTTAAGAGCTGAGCTTTAGAATTGATAATTTTTTCATACTTCCTGGTACTAATTTTATCTTTGCTATTCATGGAGAAAGAATGAGAGAGATGTGGGGAGGGAGGGAGAGAAAAAGAGACATCTTGGTGTGCTTATCCTATATGAGAAATTTCATGACTGTTGTGAGACTTTTGGGGAAAAAACCCATATACATAGATATTTTGCATATAATTTTGAAAATTTTTTCTAGTTAGAATTTAACATGAAACAAAAAACACATTTGTCATTGACAAATTTCAAGTAAGCCAGAATTCAGTTGTAATTATTGCGATTTTGTTGATCTTTATGGTCTTTGTATACTCCCTCATACCATTCTCGTGACTAGGCATCAGAAAGTGTTTCTAAAAAGAAACAAAAATGTTCTGTCTTTGAGTTGTCAGTTGTTTTATTTTTTCGTTAAATACATTGGATGATATTGGTTAATAAAATACATAGGTTATTCTTGCTTTTTAGGTGGTTTAACTTATTTCTTCTTCTTTAAAAAAAAGTCTTCTTATTCTGAAGAGCCAAAAAATCAAGTCATTCCACTGTGTTTTCACTAATATTGTCCTGATGCATGAATTTTTTCATAAATGTTTATACAAAATTTGTTATAAAACACTTGAAACTTATATAATTTTATGAACATATGACACCCTAGTAATTTTAATAAACAAACTGTGTATTTCCAAAAAATCTTTATTAATAGTAACAAGATATTTTGAATATATTGAATATTATATGTCAAGATAGATACATTTAAAAGGTTAATATTGCTGATTTGAAACTTATTTATTCTTTTTAATGTTTTTTAAAAGTTATACAAATGTTATTTGGAATTAAAAATAAATAGATTAAATATTTAATAATAAATTTTAATATTTTTAGCATGCTCATAATATTTACTAGATTTATTTGTGTATTTTATAAAAAATATTGTACTTCTCAATCAAATATATAAGTACAATTTTAACATTTTATGTTTTATTATCTCTATTTTTGTTTATCACATTAAGTTTAGTGGTATTGTTAACATTCTTTTTTATAATCCTTTGTAGTTCAGTTTCATATTGCCCACTTGTATGAAACCCAGGTAAGTGTTTTAACTTACCTAAAACAAGTACAATAACTAACAACAAAATTCTCATCTATGCTTGAAATGAAATTATATAAGACAAATGTCAGTAAATTTAATTGAGTTCTGGGTAAATACTTACTACTAAATATATTTAATATTTTAATCCTCATTAAATATGTTTGAAATTTTGCTTAGTGATAAAATTATGTAAGAGCAATGAAGGTTTCTAGATTCATATTTAATATGAGTATAGTTTTTGTAACTTCCTGTGATTTAATAAATCGCCTAACACTGCTTGCTGTAAAGTAGCAACTATTGATCAGTTTGTGTTTGTAACCATGAGTCATCTGTGTGCTGTGAAATTACTATACTTAAGTTTTTTACCATCCCAATACTAAAATCTAGTTTTCTTTTAAAAATATTTGTCTATAATAAGGAACTGTTTCAGAATAGTTTCTTTTGTTTTTCTCTAATATTGAAATATCTTTAAAACATCTTATTATTTGTAACACAGTGTAGTCATCCTTTGATAGCAATGGCATTACTTCAAAGTAGGTTTTTCAAACTATTTCAGATTAATTATAGAATATTTTTAAATAGCAGATTTTGTTTATTGAATTAAAAACTGAAGTTAGAGCCTGCAGGAGAAAATCAAGAAGTTTATAGAAGACTGAAAAAAATCATGTAGGGTTTAATGTGAGTAGCTGAACGAACATTTATTATTGTGTTGTGATAATGCGATGTTACATTTATTACGATATTTTCAGAGAAAAAACATTTTATATAGTGAAAATTTGTGAGGTCTGTCCTTTTGTTTTTTGTTCAAATGTGAAATAACAGGGTGGGATAGATGTTATGCAAAATTGTACCCAAAAGAAGAAAGATGCTGTCATCTTCCTTTATTTATATTAGAAACGGGTATTGTAAGATAGTTTGGGATCATTACATGGCTGGTTGCCTAACCCAGCTGCCATCAGCATCAGAGTTTTATTAGCATCAAATATTAGCATCAGATTTTTATAACCTATCTACCCATGCCACTTCCTCATTCACACACACATCCGTTTCCCATACACATTTTCAGGGTAGGATAAACCTGCATTGAGAGATTCTTTCAGTTTATGAGGTGCTTGTTGACAATTTGCAGTCTTCTTATATGATTCTCAGATAAAAATTCTGACCTTTCAAACTGAACCTTATATATATAAAGTTTTTTCAATAGTTGTCTTTTTAAAAAATTTCTTAATTTGTATTTTTTCTCTTAATTTTCTTTAATTTTCCTTATTTTAGAAAAATTTTTTTAAAATCTTTTGATTTGGGAAAATGGTTTTAAGTGTAATCTATTATGACCATTTGTATATTAGGATAGTAAAGCTATCTTAATTGCATTGCATTCCTCAAATAAGGAAAGTATGAATTTTAAACCTGAATAATAAATGAAGCTATAGAAGTTTTCCATTTGAATTTTTCCATTTGGAGTATGCCTGTTATTGAATTGTAGTTGATGCTGTTATAACAGAAAGGGGCATGAGCTCTGAACTCAGTATTCTCAGACAAGGAAAAATGGGCCATATATTTCATATGAGACCTATAAGAATTCTAAATCTCAGTGAGTATCTTTTTCTTAATAATCCAAGAAAATTCTGTTGGAAAAATTCTTGTAATTGTTTATAGTCTGTTAAAATAATTTGAGGAACAACGAAATAGTTTTTTATGGATATATATGCAGGTCTTTTTTTTTCTAAGTTTAACCAGTAAATGAAAGTTCTTATTTATAAACACTTGATTTTCTCATATCCTTAAAGTATCATCATCCAAACACTTGATAATTAGTTTCTGAAATTTGCTAGGATTGTTATTTAATTTTCAAAAATAGTTAATTACTTGAGGTAGTTTCTGAAGCTTTTTGAATAAACATAGGATTTTATGCTTATTATATTCTCATGAATTACACTGATTTTTTTAAACTACTTATTTAAAAATAATTACTAATTCACAGAAAGACACAAGTGTGGACCAGACGGTTTTTTAAAGTGGTTATAGTTTATAAAACTATAGTACATGAAAACTGTGAAATGGGCGGTGGCACTATCTGTATATATAATTGAATTCTGTTTTATTGTATGTGTATGAGGAATGTGAAAGTGGAGGCAGATGTTATTTGCTGGAGTAGAGAACTTACTGTCTAAAAGTTTTCTGTGTCCCTTGGCTGTGACTTTCTTGGTCTTTTAACTATAGAGATGAGTCTTTTATTGAGGCTGATTTTATATTTCTTTGCACCTGTTGGCATTTCCAATTGTGGCATCTCCAGAACTCACTAAGGAATAGACGAGGCAAAACTAAATAAAAGTGAACAAAACAACAAACAAAAACCCCAAACAGCAAAACAAACCAGTGGAACATACTGCTATATTGTTCCTTGAGTCCAGAGATCAGTAACTGGTTCATTTTATCTTGAGGAATCTCATGTTTCTTTTATATGTAATGTTGAATGACTTTAGTTCTATTTAATGAGGGAAATGAAGAAAAGTGTGTTTGCTACATCTTGTCTGGAATTGAAAGTTCACGTTGATCTTTAAAATTGCAATCCAGACTGGTGATCCTTGAGATGTATTGTTGTTTATGCAGTCAGCCCAGGTAATTCAACCAATTGCAGATTGAAAATATTCTAGAAAGAGTTACATAGTTGTTTACATGTGTTATATAGTTTTTCCTAAAATCATTTTGTCTGTACTGAACATATGAAGGCTTTTTTTTTGTCCTTTTTCTCTAAACAATACAGTATAATATATAAGCCATTTACATACATTTACATAATAGGTGTTATAAATAATCTAGATGTGATTTAAAGTGTATGGGAGAGTAGGCATAAATTAAATACAAATACCATTTTCATGAAAGAGATTGGTTTTTACTTTTTGTACTATTCTTTGAAGATTTTGGAATTATGATGATACTTGTTTCACAAAGGTCTTCAGAAATGTTACCTTATTTTGTGTTCTTTGAAAGAGTTTGTTAAGTATTACCTTTTTTTAATGTTTGGTAATTTTTTACTGGTTAAACAGTTGAGCCTAGATTTTTCATAATTAAAAGGTTTTCAGTTGTGGACACATTTAAATACAATATTTGTCACTTTGGGTTTGGGGCGTTGTGGAACATTATTTTGGTTCAATTCTTTGGGGAAGGGGAGATTTTTCCATTTCATCTGAACATTATTGGCATAAATTTAATGTTTGTAGAGATACGTGATGAGCCGTAACAAAATCTAATTTCACTTATTTATTCTTTCTCTCTTTTTTTTTTTGTTAATTGGTCTTTCCAGGGTTTTTAAAATATAATAATCTTTTAAAAGACACTTATTTAATGGTTGCTTTCTATTTTATTAATTTCTACTCTTTATATTCTTATTACTTTCTTTGTGTTAATATTATTTAGTGTTTCTTTGACAATTTTAACATATATAATTAGATGATTGATTCAAATAATTTTAAAGTAAGCATAGTTTGTTGCATTCTATAATGTTTGGTATATCATGTGTTTGTTTCAGAATATTTTATAATTTCACCTATAATATCATTTCTTTGGCCTCTGTTTTATGTAACATGTGCTGATCAGTACCAATGACCTGAGAATTTTCTGATTATGTTTGTTATTGATTTCATCTTAAATATGTTTTTTACTCTTTTATTATTTGAATCTACTGGAAATTTTTACATTGCTTTTTTGGGCCATCATCATCAATCTTGGTAAATATTCCATGATTTTACTAGAAAAATGTGTATGTTGCCCTGTTAAAATTCATTTAACCTTGTGAGAGTTTCTCAGTTGTTTCATTGGTCTACATATACACATTATTCCAGTGTTGGAGTGTTTGATTACAGCAGTTTTGTAGTAATAGCAAAGGAAAAAATAAACATTTAATTAATGAAGGAAACAAGTTTTTAAAAATTTATTTGTATTAGTTTCAAATATACAGTACATTGGTTAGACATCTATATAGTTTTTAAAACGATCCCTCAATTGCTCCCTCCCTCCTCAAGCCCTCCACTTAGCCATCATATTAATGCAAACTGCATTCCCTCTGCCGTGCTCCCCATCCCTGTGATCACAACCATT